TTTATTATATTATTTATGGCATCTAGTTTACAGCATTACATATTTCACATACAGTATTATTATACATAGTTCTTACAAATACTATAGCCTATGAAATGACTTAAGGGATGTACTCTACAGGTGGGTCGCCGTCTTTTTCCTCTGAAGGAGCGGGTGTAGGCAGTGGGTGCTGTTACGCAAAAACCGCGATAGAGTGAAGCCGCGGAAGTTGAAGCGCGAAGTGGCGAGGGTTCACTGTTGTTTTTTTTGGCCATATTTTACACAATCCAATCTATCCATTCACATACAATTCTGTTGTTCCATCCCACCAGTGGGGTTACACAGTCATCAGTGATATCAGTTCCCCGGTCCCCCTACCACTCCCACGTAAGGGGTATTTTAAATGTGGGGCACAGGTCTGGCATTTGTAGCATTGCTGTGAGCAGTTCACAGTGGGCTGAGGGCTGGCGAGGCCGCCATGGTAGCTTCACAAAGGAAGGATCTGACTGGGACTCAGGCGCAGTCTCTTGAGGGCCTGGGTAGTGAGACTCTTGGGCACAGAGACCCAGACTGTAAACTCACTGGACACAGCATCTTCTGCATCCAAGGCCTTGTCTATTATTTATTTTGGTTTTTTTTTAAGTCACTGTATTGGGGGCTCGTACATCACGTATCACGATCCGTCCATCCATTGTCAAGCACATTTGTACATTTGTTGTCATCATCATTCTCAAAAATTCGCTTTCTACTTGAGCCCTTGGTATCAGCTCCTCATTTCCCCCCTCCCTCCAATTTTTTGGAGATAATTTAAATTTAGACCATTTTACGGAGCATTTCGTAAAGATCCTACTGCCAAACTAGATAGTACAGTGTCTATCAGGCAATTGGCATCATCGATGGGGCCATTCCATCTCCAAAGGGGCCTTCCTGTTTCAATGTTACAGCTACTTCAACCTCCTTATCTGTACGCCATTGCTATACTTATTTGCTTTAAAACAAAAACGTGGTTGGTTTTTTTCCCTCACAATCAGAAGTGGAATGAGCCAAGGAGGAAGAGAAGGGCAGCCACATTTGGGAGTCTAGGGTAAGGTGACCAGATTTTAACATTGTTTACGTAATGTTTACTGGGGGTGGTGGGGGTGGGGGTGTTCTTGATTAAAAATTTGGTCTATATGGAGCAACAAAAATTTTCATAGAACGCAAAAATAGTATTGTAATATATATTTTTAAATTTCAACATAAGTACAATTTACAAATATAATACATTAAAAATTATGTATAGTATTATTTTATTCTTTGGCATATTTCTCATTCGAGTGAATTTTTTTTAGTAGATTGCTGTCGTTGTTTAAAAGGTCATGAAATTTTTCACAAGAATTTGTTAAATTATATTTCACACATAAAATGGCTTTCAAAGTCTCAACACTTAATTGTGTATTTTCTGATATCCACACTTTATTTACCATAGAAAAAAACGCATTCAGTAGCAGCATTAGTCGCATATTCCACAATTTTTAGTGCATTATTGTATGGAACATGGTTTATTTCAAAATGATGAAATATATCTAACCACTTGTTCTCTATTGTGATTTTTGCTGATGCCCAAGATTTAACCTTTTCTTTATCAATATGTTTTTATAATAATGATACCTCATTAAAAAGATCATTTTCGGAAATATTACTATATGGGTAATTTTGAGTAATATGATCGAATGATTTTTGCACATCATTCCAGTACTGTCTGCTAAATTCAAGAAAATGTATGTATTTATGAAATAAATACATAAATTACCTAAATTATCTGAATAGCTGATTTGTTGACATCACTTGTTTCACTAGCACTAGCACGCAGCACGATGTGTATCGTCTGAGGGACAGTTACAAAATGTTTTCCTCGTTGTCAATGCCAAAAAATGCCATTGTTCATTAAGTCCAAACAATGGTGGTCGAATTCTACAACTGATCAACAATGCGAACTTTGATAAGCAGTTCTCGATAATCAGTTCTCAACAATTATTTGTTATTATTAAAGTTTAACATTATAAAATTATCAAAAATAATATAAAACTCATATCGTGGCGAAATAGCCACATGGCAGGCGAAAACCGTATATTCCCTTCCCGTTCTCCCGCCCTTCCCTAGCTTGTCGTGCATTCTTTCCAAAATTCGGGGCTTTTTTAAAACGCGGCTGGACGCGGGACAAATTGTTCAAAATCGGGGCGTCTGGTCACCTTAGTTCCGGGGGCCATCCCGCGGCTCACGTGACGGACTGCCTGTCTCCGGCCGGGTGCTTGCAGGCGCTGAGATCCGAGCCCGCAGTGAGGATGTGGCCTTCGGCGACTTCCATTTCGTCTCCCTACTTACCCGCATCCCTAAAGGAATGGGTTCCTGGGCGCTCAGCACCCCGGGGAGCTTGGGGAGTCCCGGGGAACGTGGAGCCCGACAAGTCCGAGGGCCCGGGCCCTGCGCGCCTGCCACCCCGCACGTAGCAACCCCTGGATCCCGCCGGCCGGTACCCCGTTGCTAGGGGCGTTACCAAGGAGGGGCCACGGGAGGAGGCTCACTTCCGGGAGGAGGCGCTTGATAACCCGGAAGCTGTTGACTGTGCGGCGCTGTTTAAAGATGGCGGCGGAGGAGCTTCAGCAGCAGAAGCAGGAGCCGCTGGGCAGCGACTCCGATGGTAGGGTCCGAGGAGGGGAGCTCGGGCTCTGGCTGGAGGGGCTGGTGCCGGGCTGGCTGCCCCCCTGG